ATCGGTGAACGCTTTCAAAGAGAAACTGGATCTCTGCAGATATATATCGCGAGGATTAACATAGGCAACAAGAGCCTTCTATCCTTATAATCTGAATCTGAATCTGAATTATTGTTTGATGACTTGTCATTCTGGTTCTTATCTAAAGCTAAAGGATATGTATTCTGGAGTTAGATATGGTGATGCGTGGTTCCCAAGCTTACCATAATGCTAAATTAAATCTCACTAGTTCTGAAATAATTCTAACGTTCTATAGTGAGTAAATTCTGAATCTGTTCTGAAATCGATTCTTTAATGGCACGGACTAGAACTCAGTGCTGGTTTTCAGCATGACTGGCACTAATTCAGCACCATGTTCTTTTTCTAGGCATTTTCAGGAGTAGATCAGAACCTACTAGGTTTGCTTATCAGCGTTGTTTCAGCCCTCACAGGACATATTAAGCGCGCACTAGCGTTACTTCAGAACGAAAAGACTTAATTCAGCACCCAGCTCTTTTTAAGCACGACCAGCGTTATTTCAGAACATACTGTGTAGATAAAACTTTCATTTACCATAAAAAGGCATTATCGAAGAATAGGTTAGAATAAGTTTAGAATTGTTGTAAGCTTGAGTTCACTTGTGTTCTCTGAGGTGGATGGTCTATTTGCTAAGCTTTCTAGACATCTTCGGAGCATACTTAAGCTATCTAGCTTAGGGAGCATCGCCACGCCAATGCATTCAGGAATATTTTTAAGAACAACCAAATTCGACTTGACTGAGCGTCGCTGGTGTAATGGATTGTAATTACCAATAAATAATTTCTTATGTCCTACATACATCCTACTGGGGTTATTAGTTTTGGGCATTAAATTAAACCACTTAGACTCACGCCGAATGAAGCCGTTTCTAGGTGAGTCTAAGTGGTTTAATTTAATGCCCAAAACTAATAACCCCAGTAGTATGTATGGTGTTGTCAAAGTTCATAAGTCAGGATACCCTATTTGACCTATAGTTGATTTCAGAAATTCACCTACTTATGAACTATCTAAATATTTAGCCATGGTATTAAATCACCTTAAAATCCATTCGAAATCTAGACTAAAAAATTCTTATGAACTTAAACACAGATTAGATAATTTAAAATTAGATAATGAAGAGAAAATGGTTAGCTTTGACATTGTCAGTTTATATACATGTATACCAATAAATATGGCTGTAGAGGCAGTCAGAAACGAAGTCATTTCTGACCAAGAACTCGAACTTAGGACGAAAGTGCCACTTGAGGACATAATGCTTGGAGTGCAGCTATGCCTGACTTCCACAGTATTTAAATTTCAAGGGAAATGGTCGCACTATGTCGTGAATTGGTAGAAGTTAGAATTCCAGGACTATTGGATTGGGTCCCAGTGGCTCAATGGCCTACGAGCTCGCCTTGTAACCGGTAGGTCCTGGGTTCGAACCCCGGTGAGTACGTACTCATGAAGAGTCCCAAACTAGGACGAAACAGCTGTCCATTACTCCCAGGTATTCCAGTGGTTCTCTAACTGGTGTCAGCTCATGATAAAATCCTCCATGCAATCCCTTCATGACCAAACATCACCATAATACCTCTCGGTCGACAGAATCGAATGCCACCTTTAGGTTAAGAAATATGATGATTGTTGGACGCCGGTAAGTATGCTTATGTTCCAGAATCTGTTGAAGGGTGAAGATATGATCAATACACCCTACTCCTCGTTTAAAGCCTTCCTGGTTCTCTCGTGTTTGTGCCTTCCGAGCACCACTTAGCCTACGCATGATTATTGAGCCTAGAACTTTAGATACCGTATTAGTCAAGCTAATCCCCCTGTGATTATCACAGGAAGACTTGTCTCCCTTTTTGTATATCGGGATAATCAATGACTTACGCCAACCTAACGGGACTTCCTCTGATTCCCAAACGCTGACTAGTACTTAAGTTAACGCAGACAGTAAACTGTCTTCACCGTACTTAAGTACCTCTGCAGTCATTCCATCTGGTCCTGCTGCTCTGCCTCGTTTCAGACTAGTGACAGCATTAGTAACCTCACTTATGGACGGAGGACCTGTGTTTATATCCCATTCAGAGAGGTGTTGGATGTTCGGTAATTTGAGCGTGGCTGTAGGCCAATTAAATTGCTCCTCAAAGTGTTCTTTCCAACGTTCCAGACTATCCTGAGAGGTAATTATGGTGCCATTTCCCTCGGAGTTTGTTTCACTCATCATTTGCCTTTTACCACCTGTTTCACTGACAAGCTAATCACCGATGCCTTTTCCATCTCTTTCGCTTTTGTCGCCCACCACTGTTCACGGTCGTTCCGAAGGCTTCTTGTTAGTTTGCGTTTGAGTAGCTTTCGCTCCTCATCATAGTCGGAGCTCCCCGAAATCAGTCTTCTTGCGTCAATACACTGGTTCTTACTAACTTTAGGTTTCATGTTATTACCAGCTTTTACAGCTGTGTCTACAGCTAACCGATCCTTTCAAACGGTTCACACGCAAACAACTATCTGCTGGGATCCAGTGAAGAGCGGATTTTTCTGCCCTGACACTCAATGCTGTCCCTACACTTGCGAGTCCTCACGAACTAGCTGAGGAGTCTCCTGACACCCTTAGGGTGAATTTCGCAGATTCGTGTTGTTGGGCGGAAGGGGTTAAGTAAATGACCACATTTGGGTATCTTGTATACGTGTCTCCGGGACACAACATACATCCATGGCTCGAGATGCCAGAGTTCTGGCTAGTGATGCCTGTTGTCCAATTTAGCAGAGGGTCCTGACCTTGAATGTTCCCATATCAAGTTGGCGACGTGACTTTAAGGGGCTGTCGGGGGATGTTTCTATCGCTCTAACCTTTTTTTTGTGGTCAGAGTGAAGTGAGGATGACCCACTAGCCTGAAGAAAAGTACAGACTGTGGTAGGTAAGATGATAGGGGTGATGTGGATAAAGGAGAATGATGCTTAGGAGGGCTTCATGTGCTTTTGGAGGTGTTTGGGTGGTTGTTACTTCCCGGCGTCCCACACAGCGGAAGTTGATTTTTTCTTCGGGTACCTGAAACAGAACGAGGGTTAGTGTTGTGTGACCACAGAGTCCAGGGAACAACTGCTTGAGGCCGGTCATATACGGCCTGTATAAACTGGTTTCTTGGATTGGTTCCGTATTAGTAACTTACTGCCGGTTCCGGACCACCGTAGGGTAAGTCATGATGTACAATTTTTGGGATTAACCTTTTCTAACCCTCTCTCTCCAGAGTGGAGAGATAGCATAGCTGGTATGCTGGTCGTCTGACGGAAACACCTTACTGCTGTTACATCCGTGTTTCTCAGCAGCATGATTTCGCCCACAGACCCCCAGCACAGTGTAAAAAATTCTTAGACTATGCCGGTAACTGCTTTTAGTGTAATAGCTATCCTATCAACCTTCCTGGCATGCTACGACCTGCAGGAACAATAGTCCCAGCCAGTGTAGCTTGTTGGGTCATTGCGATATGCAAGCTCGACCACCACATCAAGTTAGCAGCTATCGGTCAGGAGGTTAACCCAACCTATTTCATCTTCTTTAATCGAGTAGAATTTTGCGACTCTTAAATTAGTGTGGCTGAAACTAACACAGAAGTGGGTGGATTTCGTAATTCAACAATAGTATCTCGATTGATTATGGAGACTTGCTCATTGCTCTTTTGTTCACATCCAAAGTGAATATTCACTACAATAGAATCCAGTTCTGGAGAGATATTTTTATTTTTTTCCGCCAATTCATGTTTTTCAAATTTCCATTTACGCATTCCGAAAAAACAAATTGAGCGAAGAAATTTATTCCTTATCAATTCTTGTTTTACCACATGTCATCAGAAATTTCCAGTCACTCTACATAGATTTCTCAAAAGACAATCAGACCAAATTGAAATCCCATAATCAGTATAGCAGTTTAATTTATCTCAGGGAGTAAAAAGAACTATTACCGAGGCTTTTTTATGATTTCGAAGTAAATACACTCGCGTCACTGTAAAGGACCTTGAGCTGTCACAAAAAATCTCGAAGCAGTAACTCATGTTGACCTCAGTCTGCCAATTTACGTCTATCTTTGTGGCTCAGACAGACAGCCAGTTTTCGGAAATTAGTCAAGAAGAGGTTTTGTGCATTGATTTTAATATCACGAGAACCCCACAAAAGCAACTAAGTTTCATGAATACATGTCGTGTTTTAACATATCTAGAGTTCTTATCCATCTTAAATAGCATATCCAGATGAGCTTAACTCTCCTACAGGTAGACTTCCTGCTGTTTTGTTGTCACTAACAGTGCTGATAAATGTCACAAGTATGTATAGACTTGTGTTAGACGCTTCATTAATGCCTATATGCTCATATATGTAAAGAGAATCTGTTCATATATGTAGAGTGATGAAAGCTTCGCAAATTAACTATCCAGCTCAGAGAACACAGCCATATCAAAAAGTCCATATATGTGCATGGTTTTGGGAATTCTAGACTTCTTGAGTACTATTTGTTCATGTTGTTTCAGTGATTTATTTTGTTCTGCTTTTAGTTTTCTTTTGATAATTAGAAATAATTGGATTTTCACATTTTTAGGTTATTCAGTGTGTCATAATGACTATTCTTGGTGTCGTATCTAAGTGTATCGCATTTCTATCATATGTTTTTCTTCCAGTAAGTTTGTTGTACATGTATTTTCTAACCTTTTCAGATTGCCTCTATAGTGTTCATTTCTGTTGGTGGGGGCATACTTGCGCTTATTGCCCGTTACAAACATGCACTGGTTGAAACAAACGTTTCATTTCCTGCCCATATTCTTCTCGGTACAGGTATACTGCTTATATTAGCAGGTGGTACTGGTGTACTTGCTTGTATAAAGCATAGTTGCTGCTTACTTGTGTTTTTCTACAGCTTGTTACTCCTCATTTTACTTTGTGAGCTAGCCGTTGTTATAGTCTCTATGTTTTACTGGCCAAAGGTTAATACACTTTAGTTTCAATATTTCTTGTAGGTTGGCAGACAGATATCTCAGATGCTTCAAGAGGAGCTGAATATATATGACAAAGTTGATGCAGCTGAACGTGTTGTAGACATCATTCAGTCTAATGTATTGTCAAAATTACGAAGATTAATCTTATTTTTTAGTTGCATTGTTGTGGAGTGAATAATTGGTCTGACTGGGAATCTACTAGTTTCTACAAAGCTAACAAGAGCTATCCTCAGAGTTGTTACGACGATCCTAAGAATAAAGAATCCAAACCTTATCAAACTGGCTGTGTTGTCGCTTTGGGAAGTGAAGTCCACAGTCACCTAGCGTATGTCATTGGATCCGGATGCATCTTTTTCCTTTTACAGGTGAGTTTCTTTTCGAATTCTTTGTAACTATTTCGAATGCGTCAGCTCCTGCAGTTACTCGGGAATAGATATGTATATTTGTAGGTAGCATTTGAGGCATGGTTGTCGATTTTTAAGTGTGCCTGTGACTAGGCTTCAATTCATTGTACGTGAGATTATCGATAATTTTCTTTTTCTACAGCTCTGTAGGTACTTTTGTATAGAACCTATCTTGTGTTTCCTGTGACCATCAATCTTGAATTTCGATGCGTTTTTAGGAGTGGATTCTATTTTCTTGATACAGCCACTCTTGTTCATTACTGCGACGCTTAAATCTTTATCCGGTTGTAATATGGCATATCGTCATTGCTTGTGGAACGTTTTACTGCTGTTTGATGTTCTCTAGACATGATAGTGTGGAGTTAAATATCGAGATGATCCATTATGCAACTAGTTAACGAAAAAGGTTTACATTTGGTCAAGTTTTTGAAGGCAACTAATAAGCCATAAACCTGTATTATCCATGCAACTCGGGTTTTCCATCCGCTGTATTTGCAACTTCAAGGAAATATCCACTGAATAGTTGATCTCAAACCCTACAGGAAACACTTACTGAATTTCTGGACACTAATGTGAAACTGTATCATTAAGATTCGGTATACACTACCTCAAGTATATATGAGTGTTTTGTAAATATGTGGGTTGAAAATGGTTAATTGGAAGACAGGAGAAAACCTTTGTAATTCAGAAGTAGTGGACAGCTGTTTCGTCATAAAGAATTTCTGAGCTTTGCCTGCTTTTGACTGAATAGAAGATTAACGAAATGTTTAGTGGTGGTGTTAGGAATCTTTGATATTCCCTTACTTCGCCAAAATGTTTCATTTCAAATCAAGTTGTCATTTTTGACGAGGTAAATTTCTTCAGTTCACCTTACTTCGAATACATCTTACATGACCACACCGTTCGGCATTGGAATAATGCATTACTCAACAAAATCCTGTATAAATTAAATATTCGTCGACAAAGGTGTGTGGATACTTTAATTTTATTATGAGTCCGAATAGGAGATATTTGACAGGGGAATGTATACATGATTTGGTATTTTCTGAGTCGTTATTGACACCATGAGGTTACACAGTCTTTAGTCATTAAAAAAGGCTAGTAATCGGATGTAAACGGTCATTTGTTGCCAAATAATCACCTTTTTACTGTTTATGTTTTATTTGATATTAAATCTGTTGCTTTCGACTTTATGTTATAGCTTCTCAGCTTGCGCAACACATGTATTGTAGTCTGTCGTAATGATGGCTACATAAACATATAATTTATTCAAATAGTACCTACGATTCATTCTGGCTGTTCGTATGCCTCATGGTTAAATGAAGGGACAGCTACTGAGACCATAAAATACCATTCATTGCCATATATGCTACTTCATCCGGCATAGATCATTTTATTATCTAACTGTTATATATAAAACTCAAATTTGATCTCACTTACACTTTTTTAATTGATTAAAGCGTCGAATATAGTTTTTTTTTCAAAGTAAACTAGTGACTTTTGCGTCGTATTTAGTTTGAATGTCAGCTGATTTGGAAACTTGGATTTACTATGCAATCGAAGTTTCTTTTGTGAGAATCAAATTTTTCATAGATTTGTATCTATGCCAACATAAGTTATTTTCGAGGGAATCGCCTGATTGAAGGCTGTTAAGTTATTCTTGTGTATTTACGGTCTGACTGATAGTTGCTATTTTTACATTAATATATATATGTAAAACTTAGGCACTGTGGTAGTAAGTAATTCCATATTAGTTTGTTTATTAGATGTATCACACAGTGAAACAGTATTATTTACTGGATGACGTTTCGAACAAAATTTATTGTTCATAATCATATCAATTGTAATCACACAACTTTGAAACTTGAAAAAACTGTGTGATACATCTAATAAACAAACTAATATGGAGCCATTTTTACATGATGGTTGGGCTCGCATATCGTAGTAACTCAACTAACTACATTGGCTACAGGTCCCGCCGTACGGGAAAGCTTGTTTGGATAGCTGTTGACTAAAACCAGTTGTCATCATAGTGTACATTGGTCACACTATGTTTGAGGGTCTGAGGGCGAGTGGGGATGTAACGGCAGTAAGGTGTTTCCTTCGAATGACCAGTAAGCAAGTCTCCACCCCGGAGAGTTGGGGGCTTAGAAAAGGTCAACCCCAATAATTGTACCTTGCGGCGATCTGTAGTCGGCGTTAAGATCTACCTGCATGCGGGCACAACTGTAAAAGCCAGTTCAAACATACCGTGTGTGACTGGTCTCGAGCAGTTGTCCCTTGGTCTCTGCGGTCACGTAACAGTAGTGCTCCTTATGTTTCAGGTATTTCAAAAAGATATCAGCTTCCACGGTGTGGGCAGCCGGGATTTAGTAACCACCCACATACTTCTCTAAGCACATAAAGCTTTCCCGATCATTATCCACCTCCATCTTTTTGTGTATGTTACACTGTTAACACTATTCAGTAGGTTATTCCTCAACTCTGAGACTATGAATAGTTATTAGAGCAGGAAATACACTACTGGTGATTTCTTAAAACTAAGCTAGTAACTTCATATTAGAGCTTTTAATTTCGGGACCTTCTTCCAAGTCGGACAACGGGCCTCCCTAGCTAGAAATCTGGCATCTCGACACATGAATATATGTTGTGTTTCGGAGATGTACACACAAGAAATAGATGTGGTTATTCGCCTAACATAATCTAGCCAGTGCTGTGAGTCCAAAAAGTTCACCTTGTGGACTTCAACTATTTCGCGTGACATTGCTGGCACAGAAGTGGCATTGAATGCTAGGGTGGAGAAATTGCCCTCTAACCAGATCCCACAGGGTAGTCATATATGTGCTGTCCAGCTGAACCGATTCGTTAGAGGGAATGAGTGCGTTACCCGTCGGTGTCTCCGCCCCAACCGACTGCAGTTCGCAAGAATTGAAGGATGAGTTCTACCAAAAACTCTAGTTTACTACTGAAAGCATAACACATAGATGTAGTCATTCTAGCAGGTAACTTCAATGCTCAAGTAGGGACGCTGTGCTAATGAAAAAAGTATATTGCTGACGCGTGTGGTATTCCACTTTGTTAACAGTGGTTGTCGTTTACAATTCTTTCTAGATAATATTCTGTACATTGTCAGCACTAACTTTAAAGACAATGAGAGACATTGTCTAACCTAACAGAGCACTGGTACACTTAGAATACCCTCGTAGGTCCCAAACACGCACCGGTACGTCCACATATTTAATTAGAACTGAACGGATATGTATAGCAGGCAGCCGTGACCCCAACTTAATAAAATCACGAAGTTTTTATTTAGGGGACTAATAGCTAAATGCGTATCTGAGATTGACAACAAAAGTCATTCTGAGGAACCCCGGAATAACATCTAGTGAGAACAGTGATCAAGGTTGTTGATTGCCTGAAATCAAAGGTAAGCAAATACCACTGAATTTCTGTTGTTTCATCTGAACTAATAGACGCCAGACTGATCCCGGTAGAATCCTAGCATGCCAAATGGCGAAAGCTGCTCAAATGCAAGTCTTTGTAACGACTGTGAACAGTATTGTTATTATTGCCTTTGGATTCCGAATGGAAAATAAGGTTTCAACAAAATATCTGCACTTTGTTCTATTTTCTGCTTTCTTTAGCTGTGCTCATGATTGCCCATAATCTCTCATCTCCTCCATGTCACTCTCGGACGATCTACTCGTCGTTTCCCGCAATGTCAGCCAACCGTCTCCTCAGCGTATGCTCAATCCATCTTCTTTGGCATATTTGTTGAACAACCGGTTCTTGGTTGGTTTGCCCCCACAGTTTCTTGTCGCTAATTCTTTCTGGCCATTTGATCCTCAGTATGGAGCCAGCGAAAGCAGCTGTTGATAAAGGTCCGTGAAGTGCTGGAAATGCTTTCCATGACGCTCAGTGCAAGTTTCTGACCCATATAGGAGAAGTGACTGACCAACTTCACATTTGTGTCGAAAATCCGAATCTTGTACTTAATGATGGCTGAGTGCAGAAGATTTCCAAACTGGTTTCAGGTTGATGAAGGCGTGTCTTGCTTTTCCGATTCTGGCTGGCTTTGACATCTTCATCCGTTCCGTCTATGGTTGAAACTGTGCTTCCTAGCCAGATAAGTGAAGGAAGTGATTTCTTTCAAGTTTCTCCCGTTGATGGCGTGTGTTGTTGCTGTTGGTTATCTTCATCACCTTCGTCTTCTCTATGTTCACCTGGAATCCTGTCTTTGCTGCTTCTTCAGCCTTTTTGTTGGTTTTCGCCTGTAAATCATCGAGTTTATATGACATTAGACATAAATCATCCACGCGCAAAATGCAGATCTTCTAGAGTCTTCTCATCGGCGGTCCGACGTACTCCTGTCTTCTCGCTCCCCACAGTCTGATGCATAATCCAGTCCACCACAGTTAGGAATATCATCGGTGATAATACGCAGTCAGCTTGTCTTACTCTAGTATTCACTTCAAACGCCTCGCTGAGTTTTCTGTTGTGGATCAGCTGATACGCAGCAGTGTCATATAGCCAGCTGTTGAATGATGTTTGTAACGATCGGTTTAGCCTTAAGGCCAGAATGAGGGTGTGTTGGTCACTTACCGTATTTCTTGACCTGTAAGTGTCATTTAATCCCATCACAAGGGAGGTGCTTTGGAAATGTATTATGGTGAAAGTAGTGCAAAAATATAGTGATACAGTATGTATAAATGGATGACGTTGCGAGCACAAATTATGGCTCATAATCATACTAATGTATTCTTATAGCTCCCTGATTTGCTTCCCATATCTTAACCTCCTCCCATTTTCTATTGCAATTTTCCACATATTTGATACAAGTGTTGGGTCATTTCGGTTGCACGTGTTTGGTGTTGATTCACCGAACAAACATTCGATGATCAACTGCTCTTTCCACCTAACTACCTTACTTTTACCCCTTCCCACCTTATTGTTTGATTATATGCAAGTGAATGTATTGGAATGGTCGAGCTTTTTCTGGATTATTGAAACTAGCGGGGTCAGTCATTCTCGATAATTTAGTTTACCGTAATCTTCTAGTTTAGCTTATGTAACCGACCTCAGAGTCAACACGTAATATTTGAATTTGTTGGGTCTTTAAGCCGAAAACGTCTTCCCATGAGCGAGTTCCTTTGGTTTCAATGTCATCCTAATTCCAGCCTTATTAAAAGTCTTATGATATTCTTTCTCTATATGGCAGTACTACCGAGACTTGGAATTTATTAATATTTTCCATTATTTTTTTACGGGTTTGAACAAGTTTTTGAATGAAGTCTGGTGGGTAATTATTCAGTAGTAGTAATTTATTTGTTTGATCCCATTGTTCGAGTTTTTCTGACTTCTGACTCGATTACAGAAACATCCAACTAATTCTACCTTTACCGATATGTAGTCAAGACTCTTCTACATTTGTTGTCTGTAATTAAGAGGAAGGACTATATGTGGAAAGGACTGTTGAATTTTAAGGCAAACTTTCGTGCACCATAAACGGTTATATATAAGATATTATTGGCTGTCTGCATGATGTTTTAGTCTCACTTCTGGTAATTATAATTCGTAACATCTACCGTCTGAATATTTATAATCTTACTACTATTAAGTTATAAACAGTATCATTGGTTTCAATAAAAAAAGAATGCTTGTTTAAGGAAAAGTGAAAAACACAGCTCAGCCTAACCCTTGGCAGTTCACAATGAACTCTTAGTTACTTCAAGTGTAATGGAAAGTTGCTGCATTCACTGTGGTTATAAACTAATTTAATGTACTAAGCATAGTGAAAGTTGTTCTCAACGAAGCTCTGTAATTTCGTATACATACTCAATGTTAATTATGGAAACATTGTTACCAAAGATTCATATTGACGTCTGTTAAACATAACAAAATCCTAATGATCGGTAATCCCAAATCGAAGCTTAGAGTATAAAACAGTGCATGGAATGCATCGTTGCTTTACTTTCAAAGTGATTAAGGAAATATTTAGGACTTAGAAAGCCACCACATATTTTGATTTTTAGTACTGTTTGTTGAATGAAAAATTGGCATTGCAACCTCAGCTATAGTGCTTAATAGTCTGATAATTTAGAATGGACTGCAGTCTCGTGGAAAATAACGCATAGACAGGCGAGTGTTTATTGAAGACCAAGGAAAAGATCTTAGTGACATTTACACAAGTAAATCTTACTACATATGCTTTTTCCGATTTTCACTCTGCATTCATGGCGTAAAGTGAAGCATCTTTGGTTGACATACTGACGTGCTTGACTCTACAAGGGAAGAGTTTCTCGATTCACGGAAACACATGGGTTGGCAGATGTCTAACAACTCTACTACTAGCTGGAAACTGAGGATAACAGGTTGCCTGATGTAGCGCTTATCGATTTGAGTGGGGCATTCATTAAAGTGTCTCACTGAGACACATTAAGGGAGCCAAAACGTCTTTGTGTAGAC